TGGGGTGGTTGGCTTGAGAACAGGGATAGAATGCACTGTGCTTATAAGGTGGACGAGGTTCTTTTGGAAACAAAAAACTAGAGTTCACTGGTTAAAAGCAAGTGATGAGAATACTAGGTATTTTCAAGCTAGAGTTAACTAGAGAAGAAAGTTGAATAATTTGAAAACATAGTTAATTCTAAAGAAAGAAGATGTTGTAATGACAAGGAAACCTAAGCTGAATTGATGAATTATTTTGATGCTCTATACAAAACTTCAGATCCCTTGTTGGAAAATTGCAACTTAGAGGGTATTCAAGTGTCTATTAATAATGACGACATAATTTTATTTTTAGACCACTATATTGCTCATTTTCCCGCAAATGTCCACCTTTTGGTAGACATCAAACTTAGTATATTAATTCGAATAATTTATCAAATAAGGTACATTAATCATTAGTGGCAGGATAAAATTCGATATTCGTTTCCGATCTATTTCAAAAGTTGTATTATGTCCTGTTGATATATGGTTTGTATCAACGATTAATAAGTAATCAACTGAGTGAATGAGTAGATAATCACGAGAGAGTTTTAGTGATGAAAATAGAATTTGAGATGTGAATCGAGGTCGGCCATTGGATGTTTCCAGGTCGGACCTTTGGGCGATGTTGCCTGAGTTTATTGCGAATGAGTGTTCTTTGTATAATGTTTTGTATTTTTTTCTGCTTTCTATCTTACCTGCATGTCATAAATGAAACCTAGGACTATTTATAGGACATGGACTGGGGTGCTTGGCTTGAGAATAGGGATAGACTGCATTCTGCTTATAAGGTGGACGAGGTTCTTTTGGAAACATAAAATTAGAGTTCACTGGTTAAAAACAAGTGATGAGAATACTAGGTATTTCCAAGCTAGAGTTAAGCAGAGAAGAAAGTTGAATAATTAGAAAAACATAGTTAATTCTAAAGGAAGAAGATGTTGTAATGACCAGGAAACCTAAGCTAAATTGATGAAGTATTTTGATGCTCTTTACAAAACCTCAGATCACTTAATGGAAAATTGCAACTTAGAGGGTATTCAAGTGTCTATTACTAGTGACGACATAATTTTATTTTTAGACCACTATATTGCTCATCTTCCCGCAAATGTCTACCTTTTGGCAGACATCAAACTTAGTACATTAATTATAATAATATATCAAATAAGGTACACTAGTCATTAGTGGCAGGATAAAATTCGATGTTCATTTCCGGTTTATTTCAAAAGTTGTCTTGTGTCCTGTGGATATGTGGTTTGTATCAACGGTTAATGTAATCAACTCAGTGATAGGGTAAATAATCATGAAATAAGAGAGGTTTAGCGATGAAAATAGAATTTGAGATGTGAATCGAGGTTGGTCATTAGATGTTTCTAGGTCAGATCTTTTGGCGGTGTTGCTTGAATTTATTGCGAATGATTGTTCTTTGTACAATGTTTTTTATTTTTTATGCTCTCTATCTTACCTGCATGTCATAAATGAAACCTAGGACTATTTATAGCTAGGCATACTTGGCCACTTTTTTATTGTTCACCGAACCATGATGTACAGTAAATCGGAATGACGAGCATTTAGTGCTGATTGACAGGCCCTTAACGCAGTCATGCCATCCTAAGGACCTACGGGTCGCAGGCCTGCAGGGTTGTTGAGCACATCCCATTGACCATCATGAGGCCGCAATAGTCTTATTTTATTATTTCCTCATATTGAGTGCGTCTCGAGAGGCTACCCTCCGAGATCTTCGAGGTTCGACTTTCGTCATGACTTGAATTTGTTTTCTCCTTTTTTGTCCTGGGCTCGGGTCTTCTTCATGGTTATTGGTCGAAATCTACTCCTACTTTTTGTCCTTTTTGCCCATCGGTTTTTTGGGTTCGAGTCGTCTATTGTTGACTAATGAAACCGAGCTGGTTAACTTATCCGGCGAGACTGGCCTGTGAGCCATGCTTTTTGAGATAATAAATTTAGAACCGTTAGATCATAAATAATATATAATTTTTTTTATAAATTTAATTATAGAATATAATTCATATATGTATAATATAGATTATATGTACATATTCATATAAAGTAAAATGTAATAGTTGATATTAATGGAGCATTTTGGGCCCGAAAACTATATTATTATGAACGTCTTAGGCATGAAGAACATCCACGATCTCAAATATTCATTCTTAGCACATACCTTGTCGGTTCATTCAACACATGAAGTCGGGGGATTACACAAATACTTCCTTCTGTATTTAGGGTTGTAGGACAACGTTTATAAGTGCATATGGGTCAAGTGGCTCTTGTTTTTATCCGCTATAAATGTGGAAGTTTAATCAAGTATGTACCTGTAGGCAATTAAATTTTTGAAATTTTGCGTTACAGTACCAAACCACGACGGAAAGAGCTCTGACAAGTATTATTTTGTCCTCAACAATTTGCACTATCCTTAACCCCTCTTCAGAAGTTAGTAAACTTCGGTAGGGTACTCATATTTGTCACCATCGTAACAACATCTCTTGGATTTCTTGGCTTCCCATCTTGGTTTGCCATGAAAAGCATTTTTACGCTTCTTACACGAGTTCGGGTCGGCCAAGTTGGCCTTAGCCTCTATCTCGCTCCATTTGGCCAATACTTCAGATTTTCGATAATCATCTTCTATCCGAAGATGAACTATCCAATCCTCGAGTTTCATCTCTTTGCCTTTATGCATGAGATCTCTTGAAGTAGTTCCACAAAGAAGACAACTCTTCAACAATATCCATCACTTGAAATGCTTCGTTCACAATCAATCTCTCGACCAACAGATCATGAAGGATGATTTGAATCTCTTGAACATGGCAATCCATCTACTTGGTGTCAACCATCAAATACTTTAGGAATTTGCCGACGAGAATTGTCTTAATCCTGACATCTTTCGTTTTGTACTTCATCTTCAAGGAATTTCATAGCGCTTTGGTCATCTTAATTGGACTATACACATAATACAGTGTGTCGTCTAGTCTAGTAAATATGATATTTATACACAAGAAATCATTATGATGCCAAACATCCGATGTCGTACACTTTTGGACGTCGGTTTTGCTTTCAGAGACGATCAAAGGGTCCTCAGAAAGAAAATTTGAGAGGGAGAGAGATGAGAGGTAGAAAAAATCTTTTGCTTCCATCTCTTGAAACCAGAGCTATTGAAGAAGACGTTTTCTTTCCCTCAGTTTCCATCTTATGAACTAACAAAAATTTCGTCTTAACAATACTATTGTTTGGAACTCTCAAGGCTGAATGAAAAAAATAAATCAAAGAACACAATATGTTAAATGATCTTTGAAAAGTAATGCAAGAGCTCTCTAGTTTTAAGTTATGAATGGTTTCATGTATGTGGGTATTTATAGATGTAGGAAAACACCTCCAAGAGGTTTAGGTGTCAAAAGATACCTTTTAGGATGTACCCGAACGAGAACGAACACATCTAGAGACCAAAAAACACCTTATATTAATTAAGGGTTGTGTGACCTTTCAGTGTCTGCAGCCAGCTGCGCCCGTGCACCACAGGCTCGTACGAGATCATACAGACTCGGAATCGAGTTCTGTTTTTTCTACTCGTTCCCAACGAACCCTTCTAAGGTTATATCATGCAAGCTGTATGACGAGGTCTCGTTTGGATTATCTTAACATTCGTCAAATAATTTGAGTTACTTAAACTCATTGCTTCAACCTTACATTTCCCACATATACAACTTAGAACTAATTTCTAATTCACTTTAAAATAGTTTTGAGAATTTTCTAAGTGTTCCACTTACAAAAAGTGGAACCGTAAAATCGACACAAAACTAATTTTCCTTGCAAGAGATAAGTAGTCTGCTATTGAGAGTTGTTAGTTTCTAGGCATGGGTTTGTTCTTCTACTAAATTCGACTCTATAGCTGTTTCAGTAAGCTGTTTAGCTGAGTTCTGGATGTCCGGTCTGTCCTTTAACTAGGTTCGACTTTCTATAGCTGTTTCAGTAAACAGTTTGGCTAGAATTTAGATGTATATATGTGTTTTATTTACATAAAAATTTTCTATGGAAAAAAAGTAGATTTGCTTCCTTCAAACTTTTTTTTTTTTTTNNNTTTTTTTTTTTTTTTGGTTCGAACAGTATATAGAGTAGATATTTTACTTTAATAAAGGACAGCTATAGAGATTCTTTAAATTAAATGGGAAATTATATTTCAAAAGAAAACAAAAGGAAAATAAATATATCTCAACCCTCGCCAGCTCGTCGTTGCTTTCCTCTTCTCTGCTGACCCACCTTCTTCTTAATTTCTCTCTCTAGACTCAGAAACTACAATGGCGTCTCTCTTCCGTGACCGAAGCATCGGCCACTCCAGGAGAGGCTCATTCTCTTCATCATCCTCTACAACGGCTGTCGCCGCCGCCGCCGCATCTCCTTCTTGCGCCACCTCCCGCTTCAACCCCGCCGCCTCCCTGACACCGCTGCCGTCCCCGTTCGGCGACCTCACCACGACACTCTCCGATTCCGATCTCCGAGCTTCGGCATATGAGATCTTCCTCTCCGCCAACCGCTCGTCCTCGTCCAAGCCCCTAAACTACATTTCCAGTAACAATCACACTAGTTCACCTAACAACATTACTGGTGCCAACGGAAGTCCTGCTGCCGCCCCTATGCAGAGGTCGTTGACCTCAACGGCGGCATCGAAAATGAAGAAGGCCCTAGGGATGAGATCCGCCAGTTCGAAACGGAGTTCAGATTCGAATAATTCGGGCGCCGCCGGGAAAATGAAGAGGCCAGCGACTGTGGGGGAGCTCATGAGAATGCAGATGAGGGTTTCCGAGGCCGTGGATTCCAGGATTCGCAGAGGTTTGCTGAGGATTTCTGCTGGCCAGGTTTGCTGTTAGCTTGAAAAAGAAAAGATAGAAGAAAAGAGTAGACTTGATGTGTTAATCGTTTTGTTCAATCTAATCAAAGTTTTCGCTTGTGTTCTAATTGTTTAACTTGGAATTTGGTTTTTGATCCGGTGTTTAAAGGTTGGGTAGACGTTATCCACTAGAATTTTGGTTTTCTCTGGTTGAATTTAAGATTTGAGTTTGTATAATGCATGAGAGAATGGAAACCTTTACGGTCTTAGCTTAGAAGTTCAATAACTGTGGTGATTTTCGATCTGTTTGTTCTCTCTTCATTTTTTTTCCCTTCTGTTTGTGTTGTGCTTGATGAATCTGTTAATTGAAAAGTAGAATTATTGTAGGATAGTCGTTAAGTTGAAATCTTAAAAACCATAGCATTGTATCGTAGGCTTATGCAATTATGTTTTCTTGCATTTTTGAATGTGCACAGTTAATTGTTCTACTCGCCGTGTTCCATAATGCAGCTATAACAGGTATATAGGTGTGCATTTGGTTTTTTACAATGTGTAGGGTGAAGTTTTAAGTCAGATAAGAAAACTTATTTGCCATACTAATAAGGGGAAAAAAAGATATTCGGATTTCTATCTGTAACAGCATATTTCCTGTTTCTTGCTACTCTGTGCTACTTATCACAGATTATAAAGTTGATTTTTTTTTTTCCTAGTTACGAAGTTGATAGAGTTATTTATTTAAAACAAAAAGGGCTTACCCACATCCACATTTAGGTTGGGAGACGAACAGAATCAACTGTCCTCCCCCTAGAGCTCCTTCAGCAATTCAAGGCTTCTGACTTCACGGACCAGGACGAATATGAGTCCTGGCAGAGGAGAAACCTTAGGATGCTGGAGGCTGGCCTTCTCCTCCACCCTGCTGCCCCACTTGACCGGTCGAACTCTGCCGCCCAACGCCTCCGGCAGATCATCCAGGCAGCCCTCGACCGTCCGATTGAGACTGGGAAGAACAATGAACCCATGCAGGTCCTCCGCACCACCGTTATGTCCCTCGCCAGCCGCACCCCTGAAGGTGCCCCACTTGAGTCCTCTCACTGGGCGGATGGCTTCCCCCTCAATCTCCGCCTCTATGAGAAGCTTCTAGAAGCTTCCTTCGACCTCAGCGATGAGATGTCCATTGTAGAGGAAGTCGATGAGCTCATGGAGCTTGTGAAAAAGACGTGGCCCATTTTGGGTTTAAATCAAATGCTTCACAATTTGTGCTTTGCATGGATCCTCTTCAACCGGTATGTGGCCACGGGGCAGGTTGAGACCGACTTGCTGTTGGCCGCGGACAGCCAGCTGTCAGAGGTGGCCAAGGATGCAAAACTAACGAGGGACCCAGTTTACTCCAAGGTCCTGAGCTCCACCTTGACTGCCATGCTGGGGTGGGCCGAGAAGAGGCTGCTGGCGTATCACGAGACATTCAGCGGAGGTAATGTGGACACCATGCAGAGTGTGGTGTCAGTTGGGGTGTCGGCGGCCAGGATTTTGGTGGAGGATATATCGAATGAGTACCGTAGGAGAAAGAAAAATGAAGCTGATGTAGCACTTAGCCGTATTGATACTTATATCAGGTCGTCACTTCGGACTGCTTTCGCGCAGGTGAGTTGATGATATAATTATTGATTTTGAGCTATAAGTTGATGCAGAAATAGTTTAGGGGAACAAAAATCAAGTTTGAAGTTTCACAAAAATGGCTTTGAGTTAATGCTATTGTCTACCCCTGAGGTTTGGCATAATTGAAAAAGAAAATAAAATGTTACTTGCCATTGAGAAGTATCATTACACCTTTAATAAAATTTATAAAAAAGAGGAAAATGTACTTGACTTTTAGAATGTCGTCACGCCTTTGAAATTTAAAAAAGAAACAAAATTGCACTTGCCTTTTAGAAGTATTGTTGTGTTTTCAAAATTCGTTTCTCATGGCATTTGTTAGATGAAAGCAAGCATCGAAGGGATGATACTTCTGTGTGGTAATTGTTATCCTGGACGATAAGTGGAGTTTCTTTTATATTTATTTTAACTTGTGGGTAACTTTGTGTTTTTTCCTTATGTTTTTATACTCTAAGGCATTAGACATTTTATGTACTAATTTAATTGTGACCATTCACTTTATTTTTAAACTTCTTAAATTTCCACTTTCTTTTTTCTCCCTTTTGCTTACCTTTTTTGGATCAATCTAAAAATGTGAGGATATAACACGCAGACCAAAATAAATAAATAAATGAAGAAATGCTTTCTAGATTTGGATTTATCACTAATCTTGTAAAGTTTCCTTCTTTCAGTTAATGGAAAAGGCTGATTCAAGTAGACGGGCATCCAGAAACCAGCCGAATCCCCTCCCTGTCCTCGCCATCCTTGCCAAGGACGTGGGCCAGCTGGCAATCAAGGAAAAAGATATATTTAGCCCTATCCTTAAGCAATGGCACCCTCTCGCTGCCGGTGTGGCTGTTGCCACTCTACATGCATGCTATGGGAATGAGCTGAAGCAGTTTATTTCGGGCATCACTGAGTTGACTCCGGATGCTGTGCAAATACTAAGAGCTGCTGATAAGTTGGAAAAAGATCTCGTCCAAATTGCAGTTGAGGAGTCGGTAGACAGTGATGATGGAGGTAAGGGCATTATTCGCGAGATGCCACCTTATGAGGCTGAGGGCGCAATGGCCAACCTGATAAAAGTCTGGATAAAGATGAGGATAGATGTGATGAAGGAATGGGTCGATCGAAATATCCAACAAGAGGTAGAATATTTAATATTTTTTACTAGTTTGTTTGGTGTGTTTTTCGAAAGTTACTCCCAAGGGTTTAGGGTGTCACTAATGAACCTGAAGAAGTTTCAAAATTGCTGAAACCAGCAATAATGTTTAGTCCTGTCTTGTATGCATAATGTTTTTACAGTATAAGAGGGATATTCGAAAGGTTTGCTGCTTGCGAACGAAGTTAAAATTAACATATTAGAAATCAGAATTTTTGAAATTTTAAAAAACGTCTGGGTTCTTCTTGTAATAGCTAATAATTAGGTTTAGTTTTTTGTAATTCAACCTCTATCCTGTAGGGTGTAGCTACTAGTAAAATGCATTTACATAGAAAGACCAGTTTGTATGAAGTTTGTATCAGAATTATTATTTTTTTGAGAGATTCATTGTTGTCGAAAATGGTTAGACCAATTTGTATCAGGTTCGTTCAGACCTATTAATGTTTGTGAGTTTGACTGTTGACTTCTTGTTGGGTAAATATTAGAGAATTGGTTTTGTGTGATAGTGTTTTCAGTTTTCACATATTTAATTTAATGTAAAATTGTCAGGTCTGGAATCCCCGAGCAAATCAGGAGTCGTGTGCTCCTTCAGCCATAGAAGTTTTACGAATAGTTGATGAGACCCTTGATGCATTCTTTCAACTCCCAATACCAATGCACCCTGCACTCCTTCCCGACTTAGTGGCTGGCCTCGACAAGTGTCTCCAGTACTATGCTACCAAAGCAAAATCCAGCTGTGGTAATAGCAGATATTAAAACTCGCCTCAAAAAATTAAAAAAAAAAGGAAAATACTCACCTACATTTACCTATTTTTATTTCTCACCAAGTCGAACAAACTTCCCCACATGCAGGATCACGAAGCACGTATACCCCAACCATGCCAGCGCTAACACGATGCACGATCGGCACCAAATTCCAGTGGAAAAAGAAGGACAAGTCCGTGGTCTCTCAGAGACGCAACCCTCAGGTTGCCACGGTCAATGGGGAAGGGGCCCACGCTATTTCGCAGCTGTGCGTGCGCATAAACTCGCTGCACAAGATACGAACAGAGTTGGAAAACCTGGAGAAAAGAATAATAACTCTCTTGAGAAATTCAGAGTCTGCCCACGTCGAGGACCTCTCGAATGACGTCGGCAAAAAATTCGAGATCACGCCCTCGGCCTGTGTTGAGGCTGTCCAGCAGTTGTCTGAGGGACTCGCATACAAGATCGTCTTTCACGACTCTGCCCACGCCCTGTGCGACTCAGTGTATGTGGGTGAACCCTCGAACTCCAGAATCGAACCCTTTTTGCAGGAGCTCGAGCGCAACCTAACCATTGTGGCTGACACCGTGAATGAGCGTGTTCGCACTCGCGTTGTGGCTGATGTCATGCGGGCCTCGTTTGATGGGTTCTTAGTGGTTCTTCTTGCAGGCGGGCCCACACGGGCTTTTTCGAAGCAGGACTCGAGTATAATTGAGGACGACTACAAGTTGCTGAAGGAGCTGTTTTGGGCCAATGGGGATGGTCTACCGAATGACATAATCGAGAAATTCTCTGCCACGGCTAGGGATGTTATCCCACTTTTCCGTGCCGACACCGAGAATTTGATCGAGAGGTTCAGGCGTTTGGTACTGGAGACGTACGGGTCGTCGGCAAAGGCCCGCCTGCCTTTGCCGCCGACCTCTGGGCAGTGGAGCTCAACCGACGCAAATACAATTCTGAGGGTTTTGTGTTACCGGAATGATGAGACTGCTTCAAAGTTTCTCAAGAAGACATATAACTTGCCCAAGAAACTCTAGTGGGTATATTATCAAGAAATAAGAGGCTGACGATTTTCTCCTTGTACAGTGGTATGTTGTTTGAAGGGTCTCATGAGGTGGGATTCGCAGTATTGTCATGATTTTGTTTGCTTTATATATATTTGGTTGGATATATGTCTATTAGTTTTGATAGATTGATTTAAAGGATCTGTATTCTTTCGTTATTTAGTATTGTTTTTTCATCTTTTTTTACCTTGTTTGGG